AAATTTTTGTATAAGAGACTAACTCGAAATGTAAACTTTCACTTAAACTACAACAATAAAAAAGAAAGAAAGAAAGGCAAAGGCACTTAAAAAAACAAAGAATGTGAAAAAGGGCACACCAAAGGAATTTAAGAGCCAGGTACTTATTGGAGGAAAAGGTGTTAAGTGAGTTACAAAGAGGAAGATTGCAACCTTGAGTTGACTGACCTTAAGGATAAATTTCCTATAAATTTTAGTTTATCCAAAACTTTAAAGAGAGGAAGAAAGAAAGAAGGAGAGAAAGAGAGAAAGAAGGAAGGAGAGAAGAAAAATCTGGCAAAGCATTTATGTAGCTATGAGTTGGAATTGACTCAATGACAATGGGTTTGGTTTGGGTTCTGGATGAGAGGTAGCCTATGAGATGGAATCTAGAAGCAGAAAAACTGGGATTTCTGGGGAATATAAGCAGTTTATGTGGAACAGAATATTTGAGTTAGTTTTAGGTTATTGTTAGTTAGTGTCGAATCATTTTGACTCATGGTAACCCTGTGTATGCAAAGTAGAACGCTCCATAGGGTTTTCAAGGCCGTGAGCTTTTGGATGCAGATCGCCAGCACTTATTGAGCAAACACTAAGTGGCAGCACTCTGTAGGACACCAGGCATCCAATGGCGGTAAGGACTTGTCCTCACAGAGCACACAGGAAGTATTTGTCCTGAAACTTAAGGATGTTTTATCATTCTATGATACTTGCAGCCCAAAACAATTACAATCTGCAGGTTTCTTTGGCTAAAAAGTGGCTATTTTCAAAGCCAAGAATTAGATAATCTGTCACTTTTCATGTAGATGTACTGGAACAACACTTACTCTGAAGAAACAATCTAGAAGGGACCAAAAACAGTAGCCGAGACTCTCTTGCATTAATATAGAGAACATGATTTTGCTATGTTAAACTGTACTCTTAATCATATATGAAAGCCATGTCAATTAGGTTACATAAAAGTTAGCAACACCTACTTTATCCACACCACGCACAGAGACCAATTCCAAGTAGATTAACTACGAAGTGTGACGGATAAAACTACAAAGGTGTTAGGAGACAATATAGCAGAATATCTACATGACTCAGGGGAAAGATATGTATAGATGGCAAAACTACACATAAAATGAAGGAAGCAAGGCTGACAAGAGTCTGGAGAGTGGTTACTTCTGGGATGGAGAGGGATGTAGCTGGGGATAGGAACATGGGGGCTTCCCAGGTACTGAAAACAATGTTTCTTAACCTGGGGAGTGGTTACATGGTTATTCATTTTATAATTATTTTTTAAACTGTATCTATGCTCTATACATTTCTCTCTATGTATAATATAGCCCAATAAAACAATTTTTGATAAAGGCATACCTTCTCAAGACAAGTTTCAATGGTGTATTTGTAAACCTCTGAAACTCTCGAAGGGATTTCATCTCTTTCCAAACTTTTATGATGGTCTTAAGCAATGTTCTATCTTTTTCTTGTTCCGCGTCACGTAGTTTTCTTGTTTGCCTACAGATATAATACGAGTGCAGATTAAAAAGTTAATGAGGTATGTTTATTGCAAATAAACAAAAAGAAACTAGTAGTGCTGGTGCAAACAGTTAACATGCTCAGCTGCTAACCAAAAGGTTGGAGATTCAAGTCCACCAAGAGGTTCCTTGGAAGGAAGTCTTGGTGACCTACTTCCAAAAAAATCAGCCATTGAAAACCCTGTGGGGCACAGTTCTACTCTGACACACATGGGGTCGCCATGAGTTAGAGTTGACTCAATGGCAACTTGTTATTGCAAATAAACAAAACAAAAAGAAACTAATAATGCTACCAAACCCACTACCATTGAGTCAATTTCGACTCATAGATACCCCATAGGGTTTCCAAGGCTGTAAATCTTTACAGAAGCAGACTGCCACATCTTTCTTCTGCAGAGCCACTAGTGGTTTCGAACTACTGACCTTAAGATTAGCAGTCAAATGCTTTAACCACTGTGCCAATAATGCTACAGTAATGATAAGTTCAATTTGATAGCTACAATATTTCCAAGTGAGTACTAGAAAACTAAATACCAGTGCAAATTTAAAGGCAATAGGATGCCAGTCTGTTTGAGAGGTTTATTTGATACTGTTCTCGCTAGGCGACTCTTACTTTAATTAAACTAAATTGCCTTTTAAAATTTTTGTTAAAGCTATGCCTCCTTAAACAAATAGCAACACTTGAAGTTATAAAAATAAGGGTCCCAGTAAACACAGTCCTCATGGTCCAAGTTATTGTAAATACAGGAGAGTATGCTGCTGTCCTAGTCAACAACAAATATGTTAAAGTATGCAAATATCACCAATTTTCGTTTTGGTGAAAGAATTTTCTACTCATGGCTAGATTGATTAAAAAAAAAAGTAAAATATTTAAACTGTTCGATTTATCAATTCCTATTCTAGGAATTTTTTCTGTGTAAATACTCACACAGGTACATCAGGATATGCGTATGTAAGAATGTCAATTACAGTACAATTTAAATAATAAAAATCCAGAATAATACAAATGCCTGGCAATAGGAGATTGCACAAACTTTACATAATACTTCAGTCAATGAGATGGAACTAGATGTATTATAATAGGAAAATCTAGTAGGTTGCAGATGGCATAAGCAGTGTGATTCCTTTAAAAAAATACATATATATATACACACATATACAGGAGTGTGTATGTGTATACTTTGAGAAAAAAGTATGGAAGAACTACCAAAAAAACTGTTAACCGGGATTTTCTCTGAGGGATGAGACTTCAGGTGATATTCATATTCCATGTCATATATTACATATTGTTTGAATTTTTTACACTAATCTGGGTTTTTAATTTTGGATTTTTAAATTATGAATAATTCAAAGAAACATAAAAGTACAGATAAATATGATATCTGTTAACGTTTTGTTATTTTTTGGATAAAATGCTATAGCTACATTCGAAATCCTTGTCCATCCGCATCTCTTTCCTCCCTCCTTGGAGGAAGAAATTGGCCTGCGTCTTCTCTGTCTATATACGCCACCCATGTGTGTACCCATAACAAATAGGGTATTGTTCTAGGTGTTCTTTAGGGTTCATGAACCATATCATCTGCTTACCACTGAGTTTTTCCATTCAACATTGTTTTCCAGATTTATCCAGACTGATACATGCAGATCTAATTCATTCATTTTAGCTGCAGGATAGGTGTTCATTGTAAAACTCTACCGAGATGTGTTGATTCTGTTATTAGGTTATTTTTAGTTTCTTACTTTTGTAAATGATGCTGTAAACATCCTTGCACATGTCTCCACATGTACCAGTACACATAGTTCCTTAGAGTACAAGTATCTGAAGCCAAATTGCCAGGCCCAAGGTTATGGCCATCTTCAACCTGTTATTAGTCTATGGCCAAGCTGCTCTCTAAAGTGTTG